TCTCATTTTAGTTTTGTCCGATTACTAGCTCGCTGTAAAAAAAATCTGATCTAAAGTCAAAAATTTTTGATAATTTTTTAGTAGTCCTTAGTTTTATACAAAATTTTAAGGTTCGATTTTTCAAGTATGAACCTACTTATACTTACATACTTGAAGTAAGACGGCGGGAAGATCTACTTCCAAAATTACTTAAACTCGAAAGTCTGGAGTCCAAGTAAAGAAACAAAAATCACTCTCTCTCAATATTAAAATATTAAAGAAGCAGTAAACACTCTACTCAAGATTGTGACATCAAAAAGGGAGGAAGGTATGTACTCTGTTAGCCAAACGATAATCAGGACCTCCCTTTACATTGAGTCTGAATATTTTCTAAAGTGCCATAAATGCATAGCTGCGAAGAAAGGGTACCGTTGAAACGATATCACGTTGAGCCATTGGCCACCTGTGGTTCACTCTTGAACAGATTGATCTCATGTCAGCTCAACGGTCGCGGAGCGAAAAGAATGGCATGGGCACCTGGAAGCCCCTTCAAGCCCTACCATTCGAAACAAGATCTTTTAACTGATTTAGTTTGAAACGCATTTCCATCATATCCCGGCAGTTTTGGTTTATACTGTGAAATATATATCGTTGTTTAAAGTACAAAACCGCGTATCAAGAAAATGCAAAACCTCTTTGTCAGGTTTCCAAGATTTTGTAGCTGAGAGTAAAGCTAGTCCTATTTAAAAACGGTTCTCTCTTTTATCCCTAATTATCTCTTCTTCCGATATCTAAGGATCGATATTTTAGTGTAAATGGATAAAGGCTTGATGCCAGGAGCTTCCGGTGGGCAAATATCTTTTTTGGCACAAATGTTAGTTACGAGGTTTCGCAGAACGACAATACGCGGTTCTTCAGTGTTATTTTTCCTTATTTCTATTCCCACACGAATGACAAAACCCAGCGGCTGACTATTGTCTTTACTACTACGCCTAATACTATGCTACAAATTTATTTTAAGCGTGCTACTGGGGACAATTGTCATTTTTATTGTTATGACCTACAGAATACGGGAGAAACAATGTGGTTGTTCCCACTTGCCAGGTTATCAGGCTATCTGGTTGAAAATTATTATTCTGTAGTATATTTTATTATTGTAAACTGATAAAAAATATAACCACATAACCTGATAACCAGGCAAGAGTGAACGACCCCATTGTGTTTTAGACGCAGTAATTGTGACAATAGTCATACGATTAATTTTGTCAGTGTTGTGGGAATAGGGCTGTAAACCTCATTGCACTGAGTGATGGCTACCGATAAAGACAAGGCGATAAACTACACAATATTCATTAAGTAAAACGTGAACATTGCAGCCTTATCCCTACTTAGCTCAGGAGGTCTTGTATGGAAAGCTTCGTACTCCCGCTCGAAGACATGGTTGTCCGTTGTGAGTGCCCTAACCGAGGATGCTTTAAAAAAAAGGCAAGATAGAATTATCAAAGCATTGACCCACTGAACCACTTGAAGAGATTCAAGCGTCTTCTGAAAGACTGGTATAGAAGCCTTCTTAACTCTCTCCTCCACACTCCCTTTCCAATTCAGTTTTGACTCCAGAATAATGCCTAGATTTTCCGCTTCGGAGGAGAGATTCTCGACATATTAAAAGCAGACACTTTTGCCAAATGACGTAGAGCAATAGCACCAGCTCCCTTAGATTTGGAAACCACCTCTCCGAGCCGTTTCTTACCAAACGGGGTTTCAGACAAGGCGACTCTCTTTCATGTGAGTTCTTTAATCTTATGGAAAAGATAATAAGAGGTGCAGAACTGAACCGCTCAGGAACAATTTTTTACAAGAGCGTAAAATTGCTGGCATATTCCGATGACATCGACATCATCGGTAACAAAAACCGCGAAGTCTGTTCTGCCTTTTCCAATGTGGTAGGGAAGCAAAGCGAATGGGTCTGGTGGTAAACGAGGACAAGACGAAGTATCATAGTCAGCGCATTCGCGCCTTGGCACCCACGTCACTTTTGACAGTTAAAATATCGAGAAAGTGGAGAATTTCGTTTACATGGGAACCAGCATTAACACCGATCATAATGTCAGCATCAAAATTCAACGCAGAATCACTCTTGCCAACAAATGCTACTTTGGACTGAGGCAATTCAGGACTAAAGTCTTCTCTCGACGTACGAAAACCGCACTCTATAAGTTATTCATCATGCTCGTGCTGGTATATGGCGCAGAAGCATGGCGGCTCTTGGAGTATTCGAACGAAATATTTACGGGTATTTACGTTTTGGCGACGGCGAGTACCGCAGACGATGGAACGATGAGCTGTATGAGCTTTTCAATGACATAGACATAGTGCATCGAATTAAAATACAGGGGCTCCGCTGGCTTGGTCATGTCGTTCGAATGGACTCAGCCGCTTCAGCTCTGTAAGTATTTAACTCGGAGCTAGCCGGTGGTAGCAGAGGAAGAGGGACTCCCCCACTGCGATGGAAAGGCCAAGTGAAGAAGGACTTGGCTTCACTTGGCATAGTGCCAAATAAAAATGAGAAGAATGAGTCAATGAATCTTCCACGCATTTAGGGAAGTACTGTTTATTTTGCGCTATTGCGTTAACGGTGGTAGTAGTGGATCGTCCTAACGTTTCGTTTACGCAACACCTATATTTACACATGCCCCAGACAGAGATGTATGTACAGGTACTTAATTTGGTCTTTTGGCATCATATGAAGAAAAATATATGCGTGTCACCATTCCAGTAATTTCAAAATTGGTCCAAATCCTAAAAAGGTCTAAAAATATTAACCGAAAAATACTTCCGGCAACAAATTGACATACATAAAAACCCTACGAAAGTAGGCCTACTTACCAGAGAAAAATGTCAGAAAACCATGAAAATAACGTGATTCACAATACCGATATTTTCGATTATTAATAAAACACTGTAAATTTCACACATCGCTTTTTAAGAGAAACTCAATCTGGACCGAAAGGTTTAAAGCTCAAATAAAAGTGAATAAGTTACTATCAGGGCATTTTCATTTCGGATTCAATTAAATAATGGCATACTGTAGCTACACAGCGTTAGTTTTAATATAATTTCCACGGGAAATTATCTGCCACTTCCGCTCCTGTTTATTATTTACATTTCTCTGTTCTATGCACTTTACTCAATACGGCGCAGGCGCATTTCTGAAGGTCTCTCTCTCGTACTCTCTCCATGCTGCCAGCGACCTTTCTTGCATATTAAATTAAATTAGCTGTAGACGATGAGACTGTGATGTTAACGGTGTTTTAAATAGCCCAGCTTATGGAATGCAATAAATTTTGATAAAAGCGGATTTTAAAAATCAAGTGAGTAAGCAAAAAAAAAACAGCTTAAAAACCCACCCTACAGCCATTGAGGTGCGCTTTTGAAATAAGAAAGAGTATCTAAACCTAGTTCAAGTGCAAATGAACTGAAATGAGTGTCATTAACGGTATTTAATTAATTAGTTCTGCACTGAATGTTGCAGAGGGATGCATGCTTACCCCCGATAAGGGCGGTTTGGGTGTGTAAGGAATAAATTTAATGGAATTAACGTTTTGCTGATTGGAAATGGGCAAAAGGGGCAAAAGGCCTAACGTTTTCATGGCATGCAAGTGTGTTTTCTGGTTCAAGGTTTCTTTTTTTTTGTGATGACTGCGCAATTTGAATTGAAAAAAGCGTTACTTTTTATAAATTTTAACGATTAGTTGCCTGTTTCGCACGCCAAGGATCGGCGATTTCTTACTATACTGGGAAGGACGGCGTACTGACCTCAGTTGGGATCTACAGAATGATTGGCAGTGCTTAGCAGTGCTCTTAAATATAAACTAAAAACGTCTTCAGGGATTTTAAATCGAGATGTTACAAAACTACATAAATTAAGGGCGATTTAGTCAGAGTTTCCATTCTATTATTCAATCGATCTTGTTTAAGAATGGGATGAGAACTTAAGTTTCGTCCTAGGTGGTATATATAAATAAAGATATCTTACTATGTAGCCTACGTTCAGCTAACGGTAGAAACAGGATATGTTCGGTTTCAATGGGTCGAGCTAAGGTAAGAGGTATTAAATAGTTCAGTAGGTTTATAGGTATACACCGAGACCTAGTAGTCTCTTATGCCCTTTACTTTTCACAACACTTCTTCTAAATCTAGATCCCTCAAAAATTTCAACAGCGCACTCGATGAGGAAGAGGTGGTTAATGGCAAGCGGTGAATCTTCTCATGCGGAACGTACGTTAGGTATATGAAGGTTGGGTCCAGAGAGGTAGGAGTTTAATCTGATATAGTATCCAATATGTGCCAGAGTAACGCAAGTCTGTCGAAGCAGCTTAAGTTTTTCTTCTTGAAAAGGGGGTCCGATAACGTTTCACGGGCCAAAGTTGGGGAAAGTGGTGATGGTCTCTTTATGAATGTTGTTGATTACTTGTCGGTACAGCGTCGTAGGACTGATTCTTGTCATTAAATTTTTTAAAGTACCTAGAAGGAGGTTTCTCCTCTAACAAGTACCGCCCCAGGTGCTCGCCTTATTATCAGCCGACAAAGAACGTTCTGCTCAGCATAATGTTGTGTTCCCTTACTGGGAGTATCAAAATCAATATAGATAGCAAGGCGACCTGGAGCACCTCTATCGTGGAGGGACACGTCCAAGAAAGCACTATAGTGGTACCCTGAGGGTATTGGAGCAGGCGTAAATGGCCCTAGATTTAAGCTTCCAAAGCATCTTCCAAGCCGAAGGTCATGCTATCAGTCTATGCGCAGAAATTATCGAAGGGAGAGGATACGTATACTAACAGATAGTCAGGCAGAACTTATGGCTCTCTCATCCTTCGAGGTCTTAGGCCTTGGAGTTCATAGAGTACTATCAGGCTAATGTATGTCGAAATGAAGAAGCTGATCAGCTGCATTGGCGAAGCTACAGGCTACTTATAAACCTCCCCAAGGAGAGTATAAGAATTATAACATGCATTTTGACGGGTCATTGCAGGCTTAGAGGTACTTGTTTAATCTGGGGAAATGGGTGTAGCTAGGGTGGGCAGGGGGGTGCTCGAGGCACCCTACTAAGTTTCAAATTGTCCATATACATATAAAAAATAGTACCCTGATATGCCAGCTTAATAGGGTACTTCAGGTTCAACGAGGCGCCATCACCATATGAAATCTTCACTCTGTCATCGCGTTTCTTCGGGTTGTGCAGAAACTTTACGGTAGACCTTGAACTTACGGTCGTAGGTTTAAATGTGATTTCCCCACTTTTTCGCTCGTAGAATGTCAAATTTGGGTTGGTTATGCGGGATACCTGGCATCGACCTAGCCAAAAGCTTGCTCCGTCGCCGGTAGAGCCGATTCAGCCGAAAAGTTGATATTCTTTAAAGTGGATGTCGGTTGTTCGAAAAAAACTGCAGTAACTTCCGAAAAAAAACCTTCTCAATCACCTTTGTTAAACTTGATGCTGGTTCGCTGATTCGCAGTCGCAAAACCAAAAGGTTTATCAATCGATATGGTTATGGGTAGGTGATCTGATGCTGCGGATAAGTCGCCGATAGCTATTTTTATGTCAGGAGAGCTGCTGCAGCTACCCACAATCTTGATGAGGGCGTCGTCGTTCATGGCGCAGAATGTCTTATCGACTATCTCACTACCAGTACAGTTCCCCTAGTCCATTTAACAGGCTTAAGTACCGAATAGCTGTATCCTGACATTCCTGGGGGTATCTCTGAAATGGTACTGCAGAGTACAATGTAGAATGAACTCTAGGCGTCCTTACGGAGCACTTAAAAGCATCTACATTGGTTCTGTTGAGGTTGCCGATGTGTGTTGCTGCCTGGTGGTTTTTGGCTGCCTCGATGAAGTTGACGAGTGCAGCTGCAGGACTTTGTAGCAAAGGCTAGCTAGCCAATTCTCCACTCACGACTGGCGCGCAGACCAGAATATAGTGGAAAGTAACACCAGTCAAGCCACGAGCACCACCTGACTGATTTCACTTTCAGATATATTCTGTTCTGGAACGAAACAGGAACCTCAAATGGGAGTTGAAGCAAGGAGAAGTTTGGGAAGAAGGAAGGGAGATAAATGAGGGGAATTCCCGTCGAGCTCAGGAGTTGTTGTTGTTTTAGCGGCTACTCAGCCCAGCCTAGATCGCCTTGTCCTCAATAGTTGTCGTGGAACTTAACTAACAAGAGACCCAGAAAGTGTGCAAATCCGGCTGGGTTAGTCAATGGGGGCAGGAGTGTTAGTTGAGTGGGGCTAAGGGGGGCACGCGCAGAGATTTTGCGAATCGTGGGAGACTCTCCGCATGCCGGGCACTCGTTGGAAACATCTCCATTTATTCTGCTCAGGTAAGAACTTAGCCTGCTGCAATAGCCAGTTCGAATTTGGGCTATGGTGGTGCGAGTCTCCCCCGATAAGGGGCTTGCCATATGTCTTGTGCAACAAAGTCCTATATACCTTGTGATCCACTCTATAGGTGGTCTAAGGCTCGAATAGGGTTTTAGGGGGCCGCAGGGACGCCGATTGCTAAGGTTCACAGTTCTTAACAGGTTTAGAGCGCCGAGGCTAAGGCCCTTGGTTGTTCCGTTGCGTGAAACTGGATATATCCCCGTCTTTGGAGTTGACGTTCAATCTGGAAATGCTGTTATAAGCCTTTATGAGGGGCATTATGTCGGTCCCACGACAGTCGGGTCTACGTAACCGGAAGTACCCAGATTTATATTTGGCCAGGGACTGTCACTCCAGCATCATTTCCCGAAACACTTTGGTATCACAGGCTGGAGTTTATCCCTGCAAAAATCGTTGGACCATGTAGTCTATTTGTGGTATATTGGAGTACTTACAAAAGTGTTCCTCTGTCATGATGTAGCGGACCAACTCGTGTCTCTGCGCCAGCTTATTGTTTGTTACCCGATCACTGCTCGTGTTTTAACGAAATGTGATTGAAGTGGAGCATTTGCATGTCTGGCTGTACCCTGCAAAAATCGCGACTACTCCATGCATGCATGTAAAGAGTACTCCCGAAGGACCAAGGAGAACTCCAAAATTAACCACAATTCATATAAAAAATATGGTCCAATTAACATTGCCATGTCCTAGGGCAGGACCATATACTCCATCTCTGCATTACATCAGAGTAGCACAAAACTACTCCTAACATACTCAAATGACATTGTTGTTATATTTTTTCGTTTGTACACGCTTTTGTTCTTCACTTCGCAGATGCTTTTTTTGAAATGAATAAAAACCAAAAACAAAAATTGAAAATTACATGTTGCCTCTGACGACATTCGAACCCGAACATGCTGGGAGCTAAGAAATAATAGCTAGCATCTCTACACGTTTAGCTACAGCCAGACATGCAAATGTACTTTCAAATGCTTAACTTCAATCACATTTCGTTAAAACACGAGCAGTGATCGGATAACAATAAGCTGGTGCAGAGACACGAGTTGGTCCGCTACAGCATGACAGAGGAGCACCTTTGTAAGTACTCCAATATACCACAAATAGACTACATGGTCCAACGATTTTTGCAGGGTAGCTGAACGTGTAGAGATGCTCGCTGTTATTTGTTAGCTCCCAGCATATTCGGGTTCGAATGCCGTCAGAGGCAACATGTAATTTTTAATTTTTGTTTTTGGTTTTTATTACTTTCGAAAAAGCATCTGTGAAGTGAAGAACAAAACCGTGTACAAACGAAAAAATATAACAACAATGCCATTGTTAATATGTTGGAGTAGTTTTGTGCTACTCTGATGTAATGCAGGGATGGAGTATATGGTCCTGCCCTAGGACATCGCAATGTTAATTGGACCATATTTTTTATATGAATTGTGGTAAATTTTGGGTACTCCATGGCCCTTAAGGAGTACTCTCTACATGCATGAATGGAGTAGTCGCGATTTTTGCGGGGATAGTCTGCCATTACGCAGGGATTGCTGCGCAAATTATACATTGCAGATGCTTATGAATCGCCAAGTATTAAGGTTTAAACCAGATAAGAGGCTCCATTGATCTCATCTGGTCCCGACCTCGCCTGATGTATCTAATAGGTTTTTGCCAATCCTTAGTTGAAATGAAGACCGTAATTCCCAGGATAATTTTATTCTACTCCTATAATAGATTTGTTCGTCGAGCAAAAACTTGTACGAATTTGTACGAATTATCATGATTTTTGCCCAAATCGCGTTCGTGCAGACCAAAAAATGATCCATCACTCAAAAACTGAGAGCGCAAAGTGACAGTTCTCCTGAGTGAAGTTGCAAATTCTTGCTGGAAAACTTTTAGCCAGCAGGAATTTGCAATCACGAAAAACATATGATTGTGGCACATGGTTGCATTTTTCTACGATAATTTGAATAAATAAGTTCGTTATATTTAAATTTTATAAACACGAGCGATTTTTTTATGAAAAAAGAAAGTAAATAAATTTTTGTTGATGTTATTAATTCCAATTATTTGAACTTAACTCGGCTGAAAAAATTGTATTCGCAATCAGAATGCAATTGAAACCAGCTAGTACGATAAATAAATTGAAATGTATGTTAAAGAAAGTCAGAACAACAAGAAATATACATGTATATCCTGTTTTTGTCCATCTGAAAGAATTTTAAAAATTCTATAAAAAATTATTATATTTGAAATGCAACCGTGGACACCAGTCCGCTGGCTGGGAAGCTTGCAAATTCCTGCACATTTGCGTTCGTGCAGAAATTTGCAAGTTTCTCAACATGAGAGAGAATTTGAGGGAACTTTTTCTTTTTCTCTGATATTTTGAGTGATGGATAATTCTTGCTGGATTTTCGGGCGAACAGACCTAATAAATTGTTTCTGTCATTTAAATCGTTCAAGCAAAGATATAATTAATTTTTCTAATTTTAAATTTGAAATACTCCATTCATCTCTAATATCTCTATTGCAATTTTTCCAAAATCACCCGTATAACAATTTTCTGCGTATCTGGCAGCACATTTCAAACAGCTGATAATTTGACAACTAAACATATGGTGCATTTCACAAATTTCAAAAATGCCTGCAACAACGTGAATTCTGGTAAATTTTTTCCTTTCAATTGAATGGTTTTCCTTGTATTGCACAATAAAATATATTGGAATTGTGTGTATGGTGCATTTGTTAAATAATCTGCAAAGATCAACTGCCGGTAAACATTCATCGCACGGTAAATAAAAAATATCGTTTGGAGGATTTCCAAACATGAAGTGCTACTACGAAGAATTGGGGGTGTCGCGGGACGCCAACGATGCTGATATCAAGACTGCATACCGCAAATTAGCTTTGCGTTGGCATCCTGACAAAAATCCCGACTCGCTCGATGAGGCAAAGGAACGCTTTCAACTTATACAACAAGCGTATGAAGTGCTCTCTGATCCGCAAGAAAGGGCATGGTATGACAATCATCGTGATCAAATATTACGCGGTAAAAACTCCGAATATACCGAGAATTGTCTGGATGTGTTTGAATATTTCACTTCATCATGCTTTCGAGGATATGGAGATGATGAAAAAGGATTCTATTCAGTATACAGGCAGGTGTTTGAAAAGATTGCCGCCGAAGATGCCGAATTCATGGACGATGAGGATGAAGTTGAGCAGATACCCACATTTGGTGATTCAAAGAGTAGTTATGAAGATGTTGTGGCACCTTTCTACGCTTATTGGCAAGCGTATTGTACTAAGAAAACATACACATGGCTGTGCCCGTACAACGTAAAAGAGATAAGGGATCGGCGTGTGCTGCGCGAGGTTGAGAAGGAAATGAAGAAAATTATGCAGAAGGCGCGTAAAGAACGCAATGAAGAGGTAAAATATTTCTAATATATTAAATTACTATACGTTACATTATAAAAACTAAATTTCAGGTTCGAAATCTAGTATCCTTTATACGCAAACGAGATAAGCGAGTTCAAGCGTATAGAAAAGTGCTGGAGGAGCGTGCAGAACTTAACCGCAAGAAGCAAGAGCAGAATAGATTAGAGCAAATACGTAAACGGCAACGTGAGCTTGAAGAAATGCGCGAAAACCATAAACAACATAACCAAAATAATGATGAATATGAAACGCTGCTTAAGCAACTTGCACAAGACTATAGTGACAGTAGTGCGGAAGAAGATAGCGAAACAGATGATGATGAAGACGAGGAAGAAGAAAACGAAGTATTAGAATCTGCAGAGGAGGACTTCTATGTAGATGATCTTTACTGTGTGGCCTGCAACAAGGCATTCACGAACGAGCGCGCTTATGCCAATCATGAAAGCAGCAAAAAGCACCGCGAAGCCTTGGAACGCATGATACTAGAAATGCAGGCAGAAGAGGAAGGGCTTCAAGCAAATAATGACGCTGAGGAGGAGGAGGAGGAGAGTGAAGACTTGGTTGATAATGGAGCAGATGAAGTAGAAATAGATGAAAAGGATGTTCAAAGGCAAACTGAAGAATTCGGTGAAGCGGTTAATGCAAGTGTAACGCTTGACAAAGATGAAGCAAGCGAGGAGGAAGAACCTGCCAGTAGGAAAGCGAAGAAGAATAAAAAAGCACGAAAAAATGCTAAACTCAATAAAGCACAAAGACCCATCGAAGATGATGAACAGGAAGAAACCGTTTCTGCAGATTTCCTAGCCCAAGCAAAAATAGCTGACAGCGATGAAGAAGATTGGAATAGTAGTGGTAAGAAGTCAGCACGTAAAAACAAAAACAAGAAGCAGGTGAAAAAGGCTTCTATGGAAGATGAAAAGGCAAACTTGGCAGAACAAAATGCTAAAGTAACAGAGAAACAGGAAGACAAAGTGACAATTCTTCAAAAGGAAGTTAATGAAGTTAGTGAAACAGTTGCAGCAGATGTTGTTGTTAAGAAAACCCAACCCAAGGCAAAGTCAAAAGTCGTTGAGGAGTCTACAGCAACCACGAATGTTTGCGTGACTTGCAAGGCTACTTTTCCTTCTAAAAATAAACTGTTCAATCATTTGAAGATCACCAATCATGGCGTGTACATACCAAAAGCGAAAACGGAAGTGAATGCAGCAAGTGCGGAGGGTAAGAGTAAGAAGGGTAAAGGTAAAAAGAAATAAATGATAGTGGGAATATGTAGTGTCTCCTATTAAACGAGAAATGCGAATTTTCTACTTTTTGAAAAGGCTTGAATTGTGAAAATTTTAGTAATTTATATTACGATTTTGAATCTAGGCTATTTGCCTAGCTTTACTAAAAATGTTACAGTACAATGTCTTAGGAATCATTTTCTAGCATGCTTTATGGCGTTATTAGTTTTGGCATATTTCAATGAAGCCTAAAATATAGGAGTTTAAATACATGCATAACCGTGTAATTCAAAATTTTAGCTTTTTAAAGAGGTAAAGCTGATGCAGTAAATTTAGTACTACGCTTTTATTTAATTTGGGTTGTGTTTTTGTAAGATCATAAAAATTCACCAAAAAAGTCTTAGTTATCTCTTCCAACATTATAAATAGATATGTATAAATTTGATATGTGAATTAGATAAGGAAAAACTTTTCAACTACTAAAAAGCGTTTTTGAAAATGATAATGAATACTTTACAAAAAAGCTAGTAGCCGTCATCCAGTTAGCGAGTGGCGAAACGAACGAACTCATTGAGGTACAACCAAACTCGCTATCGTCTATCCGTGCTAGCTAACATTGTTGTTGCTTTCACATGTAAAATTCTTCTTTAAGCGACCGGAACTCAAACATAGCGAGCGAGAAGTGGTGAATCGATGACGGCTATTATTAACTTTATTTATTTCTAGCTTATTAACGTCTGCTTTTTTAAAGCTCAATTTAAATAAAATGTGAATATCTTAATGCCCCAAGTGCCACTCATAAAAATTATTTCTTACTGACTCGATGCATAGCTGTAGGCAACTAGATTTTCGAATTGATCCGCAATTCATACAATTTGTTGTCTGTTATATTTGCTTTAAAAAAATTATTCTGCAGTACTTACATACATATGTATGCGTATGTAAGATATATGAAATTCTATTCAGCCCAAAAGTAATTAAACAATAAATTTATCACACAATTACGAATATTTTCATAAATTTCTTTAATTTGCGATATTATCTTATATCTACATGCATACGTACATTTTTAAGCTTTATGAAGCCCCGTTTCAAGAATTTGTATGCCTCACTGGAGACAGGTCTAACAAAATGAGTTTTTATATACTGCTTGTAATATTTATATTAATAGGTATACATAAGTACATTCTTATAAATGCAAATACTATGATACTTGAGTATGTGTACACATAGTACGTTAGCTTACAAAACTTAAGCTCAGAAATTTCTCATTACTACTTATTTATTAGAAGATCTTAACACGATTAAGAAAATAAAAGCATAAAATATATTTACAAAACAGTTAACTTATGTATATGATACTCGTAAATTCGAAGCACAACAATCAATGCGACTGATAGGAAAAATTCCGTGAAGATCCCTAAAAAAAATTCGAAAATCATGGAATGCACACCAATCGATTGCCCTCCTCAACGCGGCGTTTTACACGCGTACGCATATTAGACGATTCTGCCTTCAGACTGATGCCAGCACAAATGAAACAAAGCACCGCTGCCGCCACAGCACAGTAGAAGGAAATGCCTAAGAGGATTTCAAATGCTGATAATCGCATATAAAGTAAAAAATGTTAGCAAGCGCTTACCAATAGAGCAACCGGCTGGATAAAACGGTTCGGCATCCGCGCCACATAGCAGCTGCACTCTGGGCACACCCCAGGCTAGTGGATGTAAAAAAAGCGCCAACATAATGCTGATTGCTGCAAAAACCAAATCAATTATTTAACATTAACTCAGTATTACTGCAATCGTACGAATGACTCACCTGACACCACTTGCGCACAGCCAGTCATATTGTGTATACTCTTGCCAAATGCCGATTGTCGACAGCAAGTGATGAGCGTAAATGCTACCGTAATCGAGTGCACCGCAAAACCCAGTGACATGAAGAACATTGTGACCTTCCACGCAACTGGATAGACATTGTTATCTGTCGCAAAACCATCCAAGTCGAAGGGGCCACAATGATAGCCATAGTTGCGCATCACTTTGCAGCGCGTATAGATGCCCACAGAGGGATAACGCACCGTTGGTACAAGCGACACTAACTGAGTATCATTTTGGACCTCTTGCTGTATGCCCGTTTGTAGGGAAGCGCTTGAGCCGACACTGACGAGCGTTGGATTTGGACCAATAAGCCATTTGGGTGTGACTATCGCCGAGACGATCAACATGTCGGCTATGAGGCTCAACACGAACCAGACTAGACTGCCACCGGTGATGATGATATAACACATATTTACTTAATTCCTTGCTTCTCTTGCCACAAAAATTTAATCGCTGCTCAGCTGGTATTAGTACTCCTACCTGAACCACCGCCGCTTGCTACTGACCGTGCTCAATGCATTTGAACGCTGGAGTGGCATGAAAAGAAACTGAAGAAATGCGATAAGCAAAAATCACTTTTAGGTATTTTATAAAGAACTAAACATAAAAACAAGTATTGAACAGAATGTTTGTTTGCTTTGGGGATTCTGCTTTACCCGAGCGCCCGCTATCCCTGCATTAGCTGACCCAAATTTCAGTTCCACAAAATTTGTGAGTAAACAAATTGAATACAACAAAAACAAAAGTATAGTGGTTCTCATGACTGCCATTCAAACGCTTCTGCATAGGGCAAAAACAATTCAACACTACGAAGACCAGAACAAAAAAATCACTGCACATTATAGATCGCTGAAATGACATCATGGCGCTTCATATTGGGATCTTTGTGTGCTTACTTATGGCATTATACATACAAGCCAATGATTTTATATTCAAAACTTGTGTGGCGGATGTACATACATATGTACATAAATATGTATGTACATTAGACTGCTTCGCGTGTTATTTCCTCCCTTAGTGTCAAAGCTGACTTCAAGAGGATTTAATTGCAATACAAATCACCACCCTAAAAAGAACTAAAATCGTGTTTTATTCATACATTTTCTCTTTGGAAGCGGACTTCTGAGTTTAGTAGAATCCTTTTCCTCATCTAGTCTGTTTACTTAGGAGTGGATGAGGGTATGTCTCTCATTTATTTCTATACCGGGCTATCGGCCCTATGGCTCATTTAAATCGCACATACCTATGATTTTAATTGATAGACCTGCGTATTAAGCAAAAACCGAGGGTTTTAATTCTCTACACCCTACTCGGTTTAATTAGGCGCAACAAAAATAAATCGCCATATACCGCCTTACAGCGTCTGGCTGGTAAGATCGAAAGGGCTATAGATTACGGCGAAACTGTGGGCCAAATATGGTAAAACTGCGTTTTTAGTTTTTCTCTCTGACGTCTGGATTTTTTTAAGGACTTTGTGGCTTCAAAGATATGATTACTTCCAAAGATGATTAAAAAAATTCATTCCAATGCACCAAATAAAGACACCCAAAAAGGTCACCAAATAAAAGACAAAATTCTGTAGAATTGAAAAAAAGTAAAATTGTTTGCTTCACAAGGACGAATAGGTATTGAAAATGTCCCTTTAATTAGTTTTATTTTTTTTTAAGCGAATGAAGTTAGAAGGACGAAATTCGAGGATGTGGTCGAGTGCATATTGCTCATTAACATACATATATATTTTTCGAAAATAATTATTGTTATTATTCAAGGATATTCAATGATAAAATGTGAAAAGAACATATTTAATACCTAATCGTCTTGATGCAGCAAAAAATTTAATCGGCCTTAATTCTACAGAATTTTCTCTTTAATTTGATAGTCTTAGTGTTTTTTTTTACATTGCACTGAATTAAAAAAAAAAAAATTTTAAATAATTATATATATCATATTTCCTTCAAAAAAAAAGTCCTGACGTCAAAGAGAAAAACTCAAAACGCAGTTTTACTATATTTGGTCCATGGGTTCCCAAATATATAAAATTTTTTGTGTGTAAAATTTACTGTCGCACGGTGTTATAAGAATGGTGCTCTCGTTGAAAAAAAATTTAATACAAGAATTTAGTGATGTGCGTCTTGATCGCACACAAATGGAGGGACATCATCTCCGAACGGCAGATGGGATTTTTTAATTATCCGAAAATTCGGATTTTAAAATTAATTTTCACGCCTGTATAGAGGAACACATTGATCACATCTAAGAGGCTTGACCTTCAACACACATCCACTCTCAGGGATATAGAACAAAACGGAGAACTTCCCACATCACTACAAGGTATTTTTCCCTAACGGATCCAACTGTAACAAAACCTTGAAGGATAGCTACATTTATTATTCTGAGGGCTACAAGGCTGACCATGGCAGAGTTCTATGGTATAAAACCCAGTACCGTGGACTCACAAGGTTAGGGGCCACATCATCGGGTACAAGAGATCTTCTAGATATCAGCGTCCCTTGTTCCGCTACTTTCAAACTAACTACTACTAACTCTTCATTTTTCCAAAACAAAACTTTTCCGCAATCTAATTTCTTATAATACAGAGATAGATAAAATCACTGATATGTGAGAAGAAGATGCAATACGACCTGAAAGGTTTTTATTTCTTTTTAGAACGTCCCTAACCCAGTATGCCCAAGACACTATCGAAATTGTAATTGGTTGAGGTCGGTTAGGTACCCAAATTGTAGCCTGCTGTCAATTCTATTTGTAATACCCGATCTATTAAAAAGGTTGCCGAAGAACCTAAAAGGCGAAAATTCGAATTTTCAAAATAGTTTTCATACAAATCTTGGTAGTTTCGTCAAAGTTAGAATTTTGCTGTTAAAGATGATGTCTCTTTTTATCATTGAGAAAGTTTCTTCTCATTTTCGTTGTTGGTGTTTGATAAGGGATGACGGAAAACCGTTCCACATTGCATCAAGAAAGTTTCTATTCAATAATGTATTACAAAAGCTGATATATTTTCCAAACCTAACTAGAGCTCATACTTTGCTTGGAGATGACGACTATATTCCCTATAAGAATTAATATGGACAAAGGTTGTGGCAAAATTAATTATTCGAATTTCTTTTTTCAAATCCCTGAAGTCATTAAATTACTAATTGAACTTTGGAAAGCCGTGTTTATTTTCAATTTCCGCTTGCTTACATTTGTATCCAATTTCAATTTGTTCAATTACGTTCGATAGGTATGACTTGGCCTATTAATTTGCATTACATATTCAACTTAATATCTATGTACATACATATGTATGTATGTATGTATGTATTTTCCTTTTCTACACTCCGCAGCTTGACCATTTGGCATGCCCATAATTGGTGGGCCCTCCCGTATTTTATTCCACTTTTTTTACTATCGCACTTGGCACATATTTCAGCGGCTAAAACTTATGTAGCTAATTTACAAAAACAACAAAACTTAATCCTGCTGCAACAACACGCGATTCACACATTTCGCGAAGACACACAAATGCAAGCATACATATGTATGGATGTGTGTACCTATATATATTAGGATGCCTCACGAAAAAAGTGGCTGCTGAAAAGCGACGGGAATCGCGGCTCACAATAACTTATTTTGTTCCAATTCGATGTCTGGATTATATAGCTCGGTCGGGGTTTATCAAAATACTTTTATATGTATGCGGCGTCGTAATAGGTGACGAATTATGGATCCACACTACAGATCCCAAAATAAAACCGCATTGTTTGAGGTTTTGAATAAGGCTAACCTGCTAGTTGTCCTTTAATGGCCGTTTACCTATATTCACAGGATAAGTTTTGGCGAATGTCCTCTTGTATTTACATATACAGATTTTTTTACGCGTTTATCGACATTTGGCTTGCAGCACAGTTTGGTGTCTAATACAACGCCCAGGCATTTTGCTTCAGAGGTTAGTGTGAGAGTAGTTCCATGGAGGGAAGGGAGTCTGAATTTGGTTCTTTGCATTTTCTTGGTAAAAAGCATCCCTTCTGTTTTGCTCGGATTCTCGCAAAGACCTTTTTTTTTTAATTCACGAGCGTGTTCCGTATATTGTTTGGAAAAGACCTAAGGAAGGATATACAACTTATTCGCTTCTTCTCGGGTTCGAAACTTTATTGATTGCCTTGTAGAATATTTTGAAAAACAAAAAAAAAACCTTTTGACTGGTTTTATCTCTTAGCTAAGCGCAAGGCTTAGAGGGCAGCCTCTAAGCAGAAAGTGTTTGGCCGAGCTTCTTCTGCAATTCGGGGTGAATTTACTGCGCAAAAGTTTTCTTAATATGATATGTAGTGTTTTGTACACACAAAAATACTTCTTCAATGAGATATGTATATTAGGGTGCCCATCGAAATTTGATTTTTTTTTTTTGAAATTTCAAGACCCAACCCCCTTATTTCCTTCTTTTTTGTAAGAAATATTATTGCTTATTTTTATAGATTTTTCAAAAATCATTTAGAGGTCACGACTTGCCATTTATGCCGATTTCAAAAATTTGGTCAAGATCGGAGAAGTAGTTTTGAGATACACATATCAGATTTAAGTGTGCAGTGCCACCCCCATTTTCCTAAAAAAAAAATCCAATTTTTTGCTAAACAGCGATTTTATATATCAATTTTGAGTAAATATTGATGAATTTCTTGCCCACATTGCTAAAAAAATCTGAAAGCCTGGTACATACACAACATAAATTCAAGGCCGTATTTATGAAAATTCGCCTAACTTCGGCAATTTGTATGCGATTGCAATAAATTAGATATCAGCTTATTTGAAAATAGATTTAATTTAAGTAGTACTACATATTTTGAAATTGTTGAAATTAGTGATGGTCAAAACTTAAAAAGGTCAACCGATGAAAACTCCCAACAATCCAAGTCTGACAATAAATTATTATACATCATCTCACAACATATCGATGGCTGAGTGGAACATCGACCTATCTCGGCAGCCAGTTCGAAAACGCCCTATCTCAGAAAATTTTTCAAGAACGCCCTACTTCAGAATTTGATTGGAAAACACCCTACCTGAGAAAACACCCTACCGAGCTAATAAAAGGAAGGTAAAAAGTAAAAATAACCACTCATGCTCATTTGCCCGTAGTTGCGTATGTAACGTATACACCCTGTAGCACCATATGCAGCCATCAAATATGTTTACTCGCACGCCTTAAACGTTTAAGATTTTTACACAGTGTCATTATGCATATATATATTATTTTCTTATGTATATACAAATTTTAGAATGACTTTCGAGTGCACCAATAAGAATTGTAAAAATGGAATTTTAGTTTCTCAAATTATAGTCATCTTTTACTCAGTGTACTCAGATATTCTGCAAGCTGCCATTTTCTTTAATTTCGTGGTGTACTCTTGAAACTTCACAGATATGTTGTATTTGATGCCAACGTCAATTGCCTCTTAAGCCGGGACCACACGATTTGTACATTTGTACAGATTTGTTCATTTAACCAGTTACAGAGTGGGTTTTTCTTTATTGTGCTGAACTCATTCTCGATACAAATTTCTAGCCAATTCCACTCTGTGGCGGCCAAAATATACAAATGTACAATTCGTGTGATCCCTGCTTTATATGAACATTCTCTTTGAAAACTTACCAAAGTTATTAAAAAACCGATTAAGATTTTTCTTAGTGAAAATGAAAAAAATAGTCATTTCGGTTTTAAGGCAAAAATTGATTTTTGAAATTCTGGAACTCCATTGATTGAAATAAATCCAATAAGACTGCTTTAGCTTTTTTGCCGAGAGAAGGGAGTGACCCTAAAAAACAACTCGTGGGATTTACTCATATGTATATGGGATTAGGTCATATTTTTTCATGATCCATCCTAATGTACAGATTCATATACACTTACATACTTTAATATGTCTGTAGCTCGCCATTATAGTGGAAAACAAAGCGTCGGAAGCACAATGACCTGTAAATTATTTCAAATTAGTGAAAAGTGTTTATGGAAAAAGGGCACTGCGAGGGCGAGTACTCGTAGACCTGACGCCAAATAAATACAGCGGGTGGTATGGAACGCTAAGAGAAAACCTGTGTACGCTTTGTGGTTGATGTACTACATATGTACATAGTTAGATACATATGCAATGTTGCGCCTATTGGTGAGGTGATTTAAAGCTTTTGACGCGTCTGAAGCGTGAAAGTAATTTAAATGTAAAACAAGCAGCTGATAGTGGCACTTTTTTTCTACTTTATTATATAGATGGTGCGCCATGCACTGAATTTGCCTTAAACACGCTCAATGCGTCAACCCGACAATTAACGGTACAATTAATTAAAATGTAAACAAAAAGCGCACATATGTGACGTTTAGTTTCAGGCTGGTTGCAACACACAAAGCTGTTGTTAAGCACTTCCGCCCACTGAGTGTTCAACAACGAATGCATCAGGGACTTCATTTATACATACATACATATGTAGTGCCATATAATACACATTACTTTTTTATTCTAACATTTCCAGTTCACTTTTTAGCCCCTTTGGCAAACTACATACACTTAGACAACCCATTGTAATTGAAGTTTAAATGATAATGATGATGGCTCCCAATGCGGAAGCTATAAACAAATTGCAACAGACGCAGGCCTTGTTGTAAAATATATAGTACAACACATGTTTGTTTGTCTAACAGTAAACTTTTCCATGATCCCGCGCCGCCGCATCGGCTGAACTTCAATTACGATGGCCCATCAACGGGATATCTGCTGCGCTGACATTAACTTTTATCCCATGGACCATCTTCCAATTGGTGCACAGTGTTCAAATTTCATCATCGTCAGCAGAAAAAAAAATTGCACTGAATTTGGTCTGGAGTTGGCCACATGAAATTGGACCTTAATCTAGCTGAATCGAACTAAAGCCATATGGGACGTAAGGCCTCGTTTTTTTTTTGTAAGAAAATTTTGTTGGAAGCATAATTTCGGGATTTGTAGACAGCGAACTACCATCGCGTTCATGCAATTTGCTACTTCTGGACTTCGATTTGGTGTCCGAAAATTCTTAAAAAGCTTTATTCTGAAACTTGGTGCAGGGTTATAATCTGGAGCCGCTTATTAAAAGATTACGGGCTTTAGAATTAAAGAGTTTCCATGAATTGATCCCAACGTAAGATCGATTTAAAAACGAATATACTGTACGCTCCCTGGAACAATATCAAAGAATGATCTTTTCTTTTTAACTAGTGACTCTAAACATTTTCCTAACTATCTTACAACAAGCACAAAAACGGATTCTGAACACCTAAAACATATCAAATGAGAACTTTTGGCTCGGAGTGTTGTGGAAATTAAGAATTTATTTTGCCATCCAACAAAATGCTACAAAAATTTTAGTTTGAATACAACCGCAACCCGACCGGAAATGAAATTGGATGCTCTTTATTCACATTTCGGATATTCTATCTACCGAGCTAATTAACTACTAAAATCAGAGGTTTGATTCGCTCTAACAACAACTATACATAGGTATGTATTATGTAGCATTGAAAGCGTTTGGATCCAAAGTGGTGAAGTTAAGAATTGTTCGGAAATGTCGCGTACCGCCAGCATCATTGAGTCGATGGCCCAGAAATGAAGATCAACGAGGCAGATAACCCCAGAGCATGTTTAAATTATGAAGGCTACACTTCTCCACCCCGCTGAATTGTAATAGCACTGAAGTCAGTGAAGAAGATGGACCCATGCACTCAGCTGTGGACGACGAAATCAATGCCCTACCGGCCGAATATGTCGAGATACAAATAGGAATTGCTTGGATGAGCTATTTAACCCTCTGCGACTGACGTGGTAGTCTGACAGAGAACGAATGTTCGACATTTTTCCCGAGCTTCAATAACATTGAGTTTATTATATGACTATTTCATTAACGAGTATACTGCGGAAGTTTATGCAGAAAACAAAGCCTAAAAATATGTACCACTTAGCTATAAGAAACATAAATAAATTTGTATACATTTTGGTTATTGTTATGTGGTCCATAGTTTTAGGCTTCGTTTTCTGCAGTCGGACAAGCATATGCCTGCCGACAAAAATTAACAAGCCTTTATACATTGGCTATGGTTTCACATACGACGAAGAGCTCCACATCACTTTGAATTTCATGAGCAAAGAAAGCGAATAACGTAGCAAGAGGCTTCCATCTGGTGCTCGATAGTACCCATTCTTGAGTTAACCATATCAGCTCTCTCTAAATAAGAAAAGTCCCTCGGTTAGACCTAACTTCAATGTTTGTTCCAGGTGGGTTATATGGTTCCTTGATTAGCCGAAACCTAAATTTGTTGTGTGGAAAAAAGTCCATATACCTTGAGAATATGTCCTGCCAACTGTCAAAGGATGTGAAGTTAGGCTAATTTTGTTTATAACCGCCTACTAGGAAGTGACAGGAAAATAGTTAAGGACGCGACATTTTAACAAGTTTAGCTATTTTTCTTTTAAATGAACAAAAGAAAGGTAGCAAAAACTTATTAAAATGTCGGGTGCCTATTTATTTGAATGTCAACGTATGAACATTTAGATTAGGTTAGGTTAATCTGGCCGCCGTTGAGCCGCACATAGACCGTTGCCAGTTGGAGTTCGGTTTTACGCGTTAAAGCAGACATCACAATGCATGTCAACGTTTTTTTTTTTGCAAATTTAAGTAGATATTTCAGCCCTACTTTTGAGATGTCCTCTAACTTCTCGAATTGGCAGGCTCCCAAGCATTTTAGTCGGGTTTCTGATCAGCAGTCTCATCTGATATTTCATTACCCTCTATTCCCTTGTGGCCGGGCACCAATAAATATGCATCCTTCTGTCGGCGGCCAGCTTGTCAATGGCTGCCCGGCTGCGAAGTTCGTTTATGGATGAAATACTATATGAGGTAACTGCCTCAATTGCCTATGCAAATTAAAATCCGATATCACGCTCAAAAAACACTGTATTTCGCTGTGCCGCCAATAATATGAACTTCTGGAGATGGAGTCGCAATAGACGCGCGTCAGCCGGGTTACAATCAAACGAGTTGATTGGACTCACCAAGCGACGCGTCCGCGGAATGCTTTAGTTGCTGAAGCTCCCACAGCGCTCCTCACTGCACTTATAAAATATTTAATTTGTTTAGAGCTCCGAAAAGTGACTGCAATCACCAACACAGGCAGGCAACATCAATGTGGAGTCAGTCCAGGCGGTGGCGGCATTGATGAGATGAGCGCGCGTCAGCCACTATCGCATCATCAACAGTTGTTTTACATGTTTCTAAAAAAGCTGCAGCTGTTGTTGTTGTTATTGTAGCACCACAATTTGACTAGCTGTTGTGGTTGTTGTTGTTACTGCATGCGCAGATCGTTATTAGTTGGCTGTTTGATGGCATGTGGCAATGTGGCAGGCTGGCTCCTCATAATTGGATGATTGTGTTTTGGCAGCTGAAAGAAATAAGAGCGCCGCGCGGTGCGATGCGGCAGGGTTGAGTGCATGGCGCTTGTGGCTTACAGCAATGTTGCTGGCAATGCAGGGCCATAACAAAAAGCGCAAGGCATTGTAATTGATATTGTTGTTAGAGATCTTTGTGTACTTGATTTTTTTTTTCTCAATTACAAATTAAAATTGAGTTGCATTTGGTTTTTTTTTTCACTTTGGGTTTGTGGTAAGCGTGGGTTCAATGAAAAAAACAAACAAACAATAGAATAAAAAATAAATTCATCTTGGCAATAAAGTAATAACAACAATGCAATGCACATACTCG